ACTATCTCTATTGTGAGAAATAGAGTAGCAGAAAAACTAAGGTGCCACCCAGATTTAGGATCTTGTGGTACACATATTGTCAGCACTGAACTGTACAAGAAAGGGAAGAGTAGATTTTTCAGGGGTGGGAGTGACATGCAGAAAACGTTTCCCAAGAAGATTATTACTCTGTGAACAAGGACTGTGAGGGGAATGGGGAGCAGAGGGGAAAAGGACAAGAACATCTGCTGGGGAAGGTTGTCAAAGCCCCAGTATCAATTAATACAATGTTCTTCATGCTCCCTTGAACAAAACAACCAGGACAATGATCTGACAATGGACTGGAACTGAAGGAAATTTGGGCAACCATGCCTGTATAAGGTGGCTCTGGAAATGAGGGCCTAGCTGAGGTGAGGAAAACAGTCATGGGGAACCAAGAGTTGGGGGTGCAAGAGAGAGGAAGGAGGAAGACTTAATGGAATCTGGTGATTTATTGTGTATGCTGGGGAAGAAATGCAAAAGTAAATATACTCTTGCTGATTTCCTGGATATTGGGGGTGGGGGTAAGGAAAAGAAAGCCTTTAGTCTGATATCACACAATTACTACCATGGAGAATTTAAGAGGATAACATACTCACTGCGAGAAATGGTAGGGATCTGGGAAGAAGTAACTGTTAATCATCAGTGTTTATTTAGTTCGTGGTAATTTATGGTGACATTCTCAGAGGTGCTGGAAAAAATGAGCTCTCTTTCCTTGAGGCTAGCCAGCCAGCCCGACAGTGCCCAGATGTAACTGGTGCTATGCACATCACCTGTGTGTGTTGCTGTAGAATGGCAAGCTGCTCTGGAACCAGGCTCTGGAGGCAGACACCCGGGGGCCAGCAGTGGCTCCAGTACGCACTGGCTGTGTGTTTTCCTCTCTGTGCCCTAATTTGCTCACTTGTCAAATGGGCATTATAAGGTTATAGAATTAGTTAAAATAATACAGGCAATGTGTTTACAATTATGCTTGTACATAATAACTGCTCAGTAAACATTTGCTCTTATTTTACTATGACTATAACTACTATTACTATTACTACCACTACCCTAAACAAATCAACAGCAAAATCTCATTGACTATGTTAAGGACTTTAGCAAGGTAAAATGCGAGTCTCACAAACTTGGCACTGCTCAGGATTCCTGACATGTCATGTCTGAAGTGATTAAAGTCTGAAAGACTTGAGAGAATTCCCGAAATGTAACCCTGGGTCCCAAGGCACCGTGGGAATCCCAGCGAGCCCTCCAGCATTATCCTGCTCTGAGGGACCCTATCCACAGAGGTCGGCGCAGTCCCTGGCTCGCCTTACTCAGTGGTTTCACGTGCACTGTTATTACAGAAACAGATTTCTTAGCTATTGGGATATACAATTTAGTCTCTCATAAATAGCTTGTCTTCATTCCTTCATCTCCCTAGTCTGTTATGAAGTGTGACAGGCATCCCTGGAAAAGAACAGTCATTCTAAAAGAATGAGGAAGTGTTAGACAAGAATAAAGACGCACTGGGTTAAAGTTCAGATCCTGCTGTGTATCTTCAGCTCTCTGACATTGTTTCCTCCCTCATAAAATTGGAATTACATCTATTTGGTCAACCTCACCACCCTGGCATGCAAGTCAAATGAAAAAACTGAAATGTAAAAACACGGTGCATATGCAGAATACCTCAGAGCAGGGGCCGCCCCATCACTGCAATGGGAACCAGGCCGCACGGCAGGCCATGAGCTTGAATGTCATGCACTTGAATCATCCCCAAACCATCTCCCCACTCCCTACCCCACACCCGTCCATGGAAAAATTGTCTTCCACGAAGCCAGTCCCTGGTGCTGGAAAGGCTGGTACTGCTGCCTTAGAAGATACTCATATCACGCTATTGGCTCTAGTTATTCTCAAAGGAAAAAAAAACAAAAACAAAAAAGACCTATAAGAGTCTCCAAACTTGAAGAGTATTACTTAAATAGCATAGAATTTTCTTCCATTTAACCAGTTTTATCATCATTTCTACAACTTCTATCTCTTCACAGAGTCATTCTGAGGATTAAACAAGATCATGTTTTAAATGGAAGCACTAAATTCTGCCTGGGGTAACAACACTAACTCTCACTTAGGTGCCAGGCACTAAGCTCAGAACTTCATGTGCTTCATCTCACTAGTTTCTCCAATGAAGAAACTAGGCTGTCCTGTTCTGATCATGAGAAAACTGAAATTCAAAGAATTTAAATAACTCACACAAGGTGTCACAGTCAATAGCAAATCTGGGATTTAAACTCAGGTCTCCACCTATCAGCTGTAACTGCCAGGGCACACCCTTTACTAGCTGGTGACTCACTCTCTTCTGAAACCAACCTCATCAACTCTTGATGCCAACGTGGACTGACAGGTAGGTTCTCAAATACGCCCACCAACAATATAGCTGAGAATGCTAAGGATCTATGAGATTTCACATAAACAACTATTTATTTCTCAAAAAACTATTCACACATCTAATGCCTACTTCCTATAGTGGCAATTATTTTTGCATCGTCTTCAGCTAGCAATTAAGGTATACAACACACTCTATATTACCACATATATTAAAATATCCATATTTACATTTTTGGGAATCATATATCCAAATATCCATCTTTAGGAGCAATGTATCCTAATGCCACTAAAACGGCTGAATTTTTCTTGAAACACACTTGGCATTCAAAGTCAGAAAAAATAAAGAAGTTGCATGAGATAGAAGAAATGGCACAGAATCAGACTGATCTGGACTCACAAATCCCTGTTCCACCACTTACAGAAATTATCACCTGTCAGTTAATCATTTCTTTGAGTTTCTCTTTCTTTGTCCATAAAATGAGAACACTGGCACATAACTCACTGGGTTGTCAAAAAGCCCAAATGCAATAGTACATAATGTGGGAAACTCCTAGAATAGTGCTTAGTAGCTATTCTCTTCTGCGCAAGGAAGAGATAACAATATGATAGCACTCATGTCATGAGGCCATGAGGAAATAGTTTCAGTTTCCCTGAAATTATAGATAACCTGTCATATATCTAAAACTATTTAGAACATTTATGGACAGCCACAACCACAAGTATAAAGTAAAGACCAGAAGAGTATTTCCCAAAAGAAATTACTGAAGGAAATAATTGTTGTGGCAACCCAAGACACCTTGATACAGGGGGCTACCTGAACCAGAAGTACAAAAGGAAACATGTGCACTGGGGAGCTGAAATGAAACTTACTCTCCTCCTTACTCTCAATTGCCCCAAGAGCCTGGGAAATTCAAAGAGGCAGGTTAGGGTGGTGGTCAGGAATACCAGTTATGGAGTCAGAGGGTCTTAGGCCCAAAGTCTAGCCCTTTCTCTCACTAGTCAACTGACTGGGAAAGTTTCATGACTCTCTAATCACCAGTTTCCTCTCCCAAGTAATAATGACAAACATGAAAATACCTACTTGCATGAGGTGGTATGGAACGAAATGTAGTTCATATATAAATCTCTTAGCACGTAAGTGAACAGTAAAGCAACAATTATAGCTTGATGATGATGATGAAGATGAAGATGATGATACAGGAACATTTGCTGCCTGAATGATATTAAGAACCTAGGATCCTAGGAATTGGAGCCAATGTGAGTGAGAGAGATGGGGGGGGGGGGAGAGAGAGAGAGAAAGGGGAAGAGAGAGAGAAGCTGCTTCCTGGGCTGCCATGGCCAGTTTCCCATTGGTTCACTCCTGTGGTCACTTGAACCCTTCACCATTCCCTCAAAGCTCCCCGGCCCAGCCAGGAGACTTAGACGGTCGGAGCAGCTCCCAGGGGGTATGAGGAGTGGCGGGCCCAGCTCAGCTCCAAACCCAGCCTAGAGGATTTGGGTCCAGGTTTGCTAAACCCCACTGATAAAATCAGTGCAACCAAATCGTTTATTTCCCAAAGCCTCCCAGGAGCTCTGACATCAGGGAACTGAAGGTCCCTGGAAAGTATGATTCTCAGACAAAATCGGGCGCATTCAGGGTGGTATGGCCGTAGACTGAAAGTATGATTCTCAAGGCCACACTGATATCAGCATCTAAAGAGCACTTCATTCATTCCATTAACTCCACACTTCAGCTCGCCCCTTCTGCACCCTCCCAACAGTGTTTCTAGCTGTATCTGTATTTATTTTTACATTTCTACCCTTGATTATGTTAAAATTCATAGCTCCTTGCTTTTCAAATGCATTCTATGCTGTTCAGCTTTTAAATAAAAGACCAGAATGAAAGAAAATTTAAGATATCAAAGAAATCCCAAACGAGTAAGAATCAGATCTAAAGACCTAAAAAGAAAAATATATTAGTAACCGAGATTATTTATTCTTAATACTTTTACATGGGTTGATACAGTCATTGTCCAAACTGTCAGTTAAATCAATATCAAATCTTAATTTATTTAAAATATTTTGTATTATTATTGAAGTACTTCCCCCTGCCAGGGTAATAGAATTTATCAGCATAGTAAAGTACTTGAGTATTTTTTTAATCTAATTAAAGGACACAGTTGTCCAAAAAAATCTCAGTTGGTTAATGGTCAAAGGATGCTTGAGACCTGCAAAACAAGCAACAAAGCATTTAAAAATAGGCATTACTTAAGTTTTATATAAAAGTAATATTTTATATTATAATCTGTGATTGTGATTTCAGTAAATGAACTGTGATAATTTTAGGCAGCGAAATGTACAAAGAAATTGGGTCCAACATGTACTACTCAGGGTATCATGGACTTACGCTAGCTCCCAATTTCTGGACACCTGTAATTGATTATTTCAGTCAGTAAAAATGACCCTACAAAAATATGAAAGATACCATAATATCAATACATTTACAGAAACAATGATTGTTATTTCTCCTTAATTTTGCATTATGCACATTTCTGCTATGCTAACACCCTTAGACATAGTACATGAGTAAATATCTTTGAAAGCATCTGAGGCATTCTCTGCTAAAGAATCCTTTTACTTACCATCCTTTAATGTTTTTTGTAAGGCGATGTTTCTTGTATAAGAGAACTTTCATGGGAACCCAAATCAATAAACTCACTGAAGCCACATAAGCAATTGAACAGGAAACGATCAGCCAATAATGAGTTTTTTCTGCTCTATCTCTTGTCATTTGATAGGCAGTTGCAAACTGTTCCATAATCACAAGCGTGGGAATGGAGAAAGCAGCAAACTCAAGAAGCTCAAATACCAGGAGCTTGATTAGACTTCCCGAAGCCATCCCGGGGAAATGTGTCTGCTGAGACCAGACGCTCCTCTTCCGACTGTCAGCAACGTAGGGACGCAGATACTGAACTAGGATCAAGTTCCTTGTACTCAGATCACTAACCAATGACTTTTTATTCTTTTATTGACCCTCGTATGGTTCAATGATCTTCCAACTTAACAACCGAGGTCTCTTAAAGAAGCAGAGCAGTCGTGGAAGTGATTGTCTAATGTGTTTGCACATCTGTTATTAGTAGTCAAATAAATTCAGAACGTGCTTTGAGGTATTGTTAGAGAGAGGTCTTACAGTGTAGATTTTATTGCTAATTTGAGCACCAAGAAATGTTTATGTAATATTTAACACTTCACAAGTAGAATCATTGCAAGCATACAATTTTAAAGTTAAAGGGGAATCTAATCCCCTATTTTTATATCTAAGCAAATTCAGACAAAGCAAATTATCCAAAACCTAAACCTTCATCTTGGCAAACAGCCCCTCACTTTTCTCCAGTGTGCTTGAAAAAGGAGTTTGCCCACGTTCTTCCTGGTACTTGAATCACTTATTTGTTCTAACACACGAATTGCTATGGAATACAGACTAACATTTTGTGTGTGTGTATGATTTCTGTTTTCCTGCCACCACTCTCCCCTGCCCCACCCACCCCTCAAGCTAACATTTTTACTTTGCTAGTCAGGAAACTACCATGGCGATATTAGAAACCTGTTATCAGGATTAATACTAAATTAAGAGCTCTCTACATCTAGCCCCAAAGCATATTGAGTACTTAAAACACAATTGTTTCCACGAATATCCTTCCTTAGCACCTATGATGAGCACTTTGCTAGGTGTTGGGGTGTGAGGATGCATGAGTGACGACAGAAGGTTCCTGCCGTGAAAATGCTCACAGTTCACGGGAGGAAACAAACCTTTGAGCAACAAAAAATAACTGAGTTCAGAATTATAACCTAAATGCTATGGTAACACAGAAGAGAACTTTCTCTTGGTCTGTGGGAAGGGGAGGGAACGATAAGAACCACGATATGGATGGCAGGTGTCAGGGCGTCAGTGACATTTCAGGCAAGAAAAAGAAGCAAGGAGGCTGGAACAGGTTACAGGTCCAGTGTGGCACGTGGCAACGGGAAGGTGACATTGGAAAAGTCGGCCGGGGTAGGAATGTAAATGTCCCTGGTGACTGTGGTAGGGAGGGGGAGGTAGGGAGGTGGAGAAGGGTGCAGGGGGGTAAATGGTGATGGACGGAGACTTGACTCAGGGTGGGGAACACACAATACAATTTAAAGATGATGTGTTATAGAATTGTACACCTGAAGCCTATATAATTTTATTAACCAATGTCAACCCCACAAATTCAATAAAAAATAAAAATAAAAGTAATTCTTGATTGGTACAAACTTACGAATGCCATTGAATTAATTTTTCCTGGCTGTTTTGTAATTCCTTTGTTCCTCTCTTGCCATCTTCCTTTATGAATAAATAATTTTCTGTAATTAAAAAAAAAAGAATGTAAATGTCCCATGAAGGATGTGGGGTATATGTGTGTGCAACTTTTTCTGAACAAAGGAGTCACTTAATCATCTGGAAAGGAGAGCGAGTGCAGGTGCGGAGGAAGAACGGGAGCAACGTTAATCGGGAAGCAGGAAGAGAGCTGGGAGCAATAGAGGAGCCTGGGCGAGAGATGAGAGAGCCCGTCTACGGCAAATGGAGCGGGAGGGATGAGAGCGCTGTACCCACGTGCCTGCCGTGCAGGTGGCTTTCCCTGTGCCTGCTGTCACACTGGGGCAAGCCAGTATTTCTCGAGGCTCCTCTCCCCCAAGGCCCTTTGCAGAAGGGACCCTGCACTGTCTGGCTCTCCAGGTGGACCCGGGATTCTGGTGATGGCTCTGAGAAGTACCACCTCCTGCCCCGCCCTGCCTGCCCCCCACTGCAGGGTAATTAGCCAGTTGGTTCCTTAAGCTATCTATTATAGTTATTTTACTTGAACTTGAAGTTTGAATTCACTGACCTTTAGCAGAAATCCTCTCAAATGAAAGAAGAGACTTGGAAGAACAATGACAAGCCTATGGACAGATAGGACAGGAAGCCCTCTGAGCAGTGGTTCTGCCGCCAAGCATCTCCAATATCATGTAATGACATCGGTTTCCTATAGCAGGGGTCTCCCACCCCTGGCCCACTGACTGCTACCGATCCATGGCCCATAGGAACCAGGCAGCACAGGAGGAGGTGAGCAGTGGGCAACCGAGCGAAGCTTCATCTGTATTTACAGCCACTCTCCGTCTCTACATCACCACCTGAGCTCCACCTCCTGTCGGATCATTAGCAGCATCAGATTCTCATAGGGCACAAACTCTACCGTGAATTGCACATGTGAAGGGTCTAGACTGCGTGCTCCTTCTGAGAATCTAATGCCCAACGATCTGAGCTGGAGCTGAGGCAGTGATGCTAGCACTGGGGAGCAGCTGCTAATACAGATTATCATTAGCAGAGAAGTTTGACCGCACAGAGACCATAATAAATCAATTGCTTGCAGACTCACATCAAAACCCTATCAGTGAGTGGCAAGTGACAATTAAGCTGCATCTGATGTCAGGCTTTAGGTCAGAATCTGACTGATTCTGCATTATGGTGCATTATATAATTATTTCATTATATGTTAAAATGTAATAATAATAGAAATAAAGTGCAAAGCATGTGTAATGCACTTGAATCACCCCCAAACCATACCTCCTCCCCCTGGTCTGTGGAAAAATTGTCTTCCATGAAACTGGTCCCTGGTGCCGAAAAGGTTGGGGACCACTGCTCTTTATCATCCTTAACAAAAATTTCTATTTAAAAGAAACTAGATACAAAGTATATGTTAACCTCTGAACTCTTTGTCTTGAGTCATCAAATGCTATGTTGTATTACAATTTCTTCTACAAATTTTGTGCATTAATAGAAATTGTGACCTGATCATTTGAAGACAGTGGTTGCATAAAAGTATCCTTGCTCCAGGGAAAAGAATCTTTGCCCCGCTTATAATTAACATTTTAAATGCTTACATTTTATTTCCATGCATGGGAATTTTAAAACGGACACTCACTTTATTTATTTGTTTGTTTATTTATTTTACCTCTCATTTTCCTCTGGTTCCTAAGGGCTCGCTGCCTCTGCCTTCAAAGACCGCAGGCACCGAGAGCACGAGCGCCGCTGTGGGGAGGCCTGCAGCCCCGGGCGCAGGGGCTGCCGTCAGAACTCGCTCTGCTCTCTCTGAGCAGGAGCGAGGTTGTGCGTCTCACCTCTGCCCACAGTGAGCCCAACACCATGGAAAAGGACGATTGTGTTAATGTTCATTGAACACTTGTCGTGTGTGGGTCATGGCAGACACATGGTCCATCACGACCTGCACTCTGCTTGGGGAGATGACACAAACACATGGGCAAGACCTGAGAACATTAATGGAGTGAGCTGGGCAGGTTAGGTCTGTAAAGCGCCGTCCTGCCCACAGTCCCCCAGCCCCTTTCTCCAGCCACATCTACGTGAACAGACTCTGGGCCACAAAATGTCCAGACATGTAAGTACAGCCTGGCAAAAACTGGGCCCATCGCCTTCTCACCCTTAGGAATTTGGACTCAGAAACATGGGGAGAATTTGATAAGTGGAATTAAAAGGAGGCCAGGATTTTAACTGAGTCAGGATTAGAGCAGCCCAAACTGTCCATCCTAGAACCACTCCTAGCATGTCACTGACACTCAGTAACTACTTGCTGAGTGAATGAACAAATGAATGAATGAATGAATGAATGAACAGAAGCCAAATGATGAGGAAATAAAAGAGCTGATAGAGTAAGAAGTCACCCAGGACAGAAAGACAACTAGAACAAATCAAAAGGGGGATGGATGCAAGCCCACCAAGGAAGACCAGTCCCTTGGTTGGACCTTCCAGTTCACGAGTATTCTCACAATATGGAGCCTTTGTTCTTTGCAACCAGAAGAGCTTGAGTATAAGACAAAAGAATATGTTTATGAGCAAGGGTCAATCATCATATAGAAATAATATTTAAAACTACTGAATGATTCAGAAGAGAGAACTGACAAAAAAAGAAATCAAAGTAGAGTTGATCAGACAAGGCTTCTTGGAGGAGGTGAGTTTTGGCCTGTATTGATTTTTCTATTGACTCAATGCAATATCTATATATTGCTACAGCATCTTCTCTGTATCACATACTGACATTTCCTTTGAATAATAGTCCTAAGAATGTTCCTGATGTAGGGAGTTGGGGAGAGGGTTGGGAGAGAGAAGTGAGTGGTCGATACTATGTATAACAATATGGATGACACAATCTCATCTTTGCTTTAAACAATAGTTGTAGATTTAAATGTAAATTAAAAATCCAGAACGACACTCATCAAACTGTTAATAGAGCTGGCCCTGGAGAATGGGCAGGGTAGAGTGGAGGGGTTTTCACTTTTATTTATTAATACCTGTATAGCTGCAATAATTCATAAGCAAAAAATTAGCAAATAATTTTAGACTCATATAAATCAATTATATTACAAAGCAATTCCAGCTGAATAAACATTTAGTGCTCTATTTTTTTAATCATTCCTCCACTAATTTGTTTTCCCTAACCTCTCGGTAGAAGTGAAGCAAGCAATTCCACTTCTGCTTTCTCTCTTTAAGGGCAACACTAAGGAGCAGGGAAATAGCCATGAGGGAGCCCTCACAGGGAGAGTGCAGAAAAAGTATAGCCTTCGTCCTTTGGCCCTCAGTTTAAGCCCTTTGTGAATCCTTTCCTTGCTCTCCTCCTCCCAGCAGAAGTGAGAATTTCCTCTGTGTCAGAACACCTGCTGAATAGTCTGTATTCATTCAGACTTGGGCTGCAGCACTTCCCTACCTATGTTGTTTGCGCCTGGGTCCCCTACAAAACCAAAGCTCTTTGCAGGCAGAGGACATCTGCTTTCCTCTTTGTATTGTCATGTCTCAGCACAATGCCTAGTAAACAATACAGATCTGTGGAA